GTTTTGTGAAAGAAACTAAGATTGAAGTATATTTCTAATATCCTTTTGACAGACTTAGCAAACATTTTGCGGGTTATTTAGCGTTTTATGATCTTTTGTAAAAATATAATACAGATTTTTCTGACACATGAATTTTATTGACTGTATTTAGTTTTACCTACTCAATGGTGCCAATTCTGGCGTGATTCTCTAAACTTAAATCTAAATTTAACATCAGTCCCTCCTATTCATTCTGTATAGAGAATGACAAGGATATACTGCTGTCAAATTTAAGTTTAGGTTTAGAGAATCATGCTAGAATCGACACCATTATGAAAGGAGTTAATTCTATTATTTTATGAAAGATCTCTTATCTATTAGAGAAGTCCGTCCGTCCGTCTGTCTGTGGTGCTGTTTCAGCGGCCAAACCGTAAGAGATAGATAAAGAGAATATTTAAGTTATAAGTTAAGAATAGTCTGATAAGACTACAAACCGGATTTGAGTAACGTAGCACTTCCGGTTTTCGAGAAATCACGAATTTCAAACGAAACCACACAAAATCTCCGAAGTTCTCAATTAATTAAATACATTTTTTTTTTGAAGTTATACTTCTTTAGGCGCGTTATGAAAAAATGATGAGAAGGAAATTTTAAGATGCGCGCGCATCACTGTAATGCGCTTACCACACGCACAAGCTTCACCACAGTTTGGCCTGCGCAAGCATCTCGCACGAAAAAACTGTACACTTTGTGCGTTACCACACGGCACAGTTAAGTACGCGCAAGCCTCATTCTTATCGAAATCATTGGCGTGGAATGGCGTCTCGCTAAAGCGACCAACTTCATGCGTTACTTTTGTGTTTACCGCACATTAAGAAAATCTACCAACAAAATAGAAATAGAATCTCTATTTAGTGGGTGCTAACGACTGCATTGTGAAGGCCTATCAAAAGTATTTATTAATCTGGAACAACGGAACCAAAGCGCGATTCAGGAGACTACAGCGCCATCTCTTGACCATTGGTGTAGTAGAACCAAAAACCACATCTTTATTTTTTGTAATAAAGTAACAGTTATAGGTATTCATATTTATAATATCAAAAGTATTTATTAATCTGGAACAACGGAACCAAAGCGCGATTCAGGAGACTACAGCGCCATCTCTTGACCATTGGTGTAGTAGAACCAAAAACTACATCTTTATTTTTTGTAATAAAGTAACAGTTATAGGTATTCATATTTATAATATTTATCCACATGTTTCTAGTTTGTATATTCGGAATACGTGTTTGAGTTTCATACAAGTGCAAATCACATATGTTCTAATAAATTATATTCAGTAGCGATTTTAATTGAATATTTTGATTATTTATTTATTTTTTCAAATTAAAACTGAACTTTATTGACTGTGTCCTTTTCCAGACTTTTTATTAATTTATTGTAATTAATTATTTGCATGCAATTAAAAACTAATTTTAAACGATGCCAAAGAAGGATAACTTCTCACGCGCCTACATAAGTACACGCACTCATTTTTTTTTTAAATCAGGTTTTGGTGAACATTTGGTTCACTGGTTTGCTAGTTAATATATAAACTATAATAAAATTATGGATTAAGGTCTTTTCATAAACTTCAATTTTATTTTTACTATGAAATGATGGAATTTGAGATCCAATGGGTCACTTTACACATAAGTTGAGTTTTGTAATAAAATTTCAGAAAAAGTACTCAATGTTTAAAATACATCGATGTTTTCATCCGATACATCGAATGACATCGATGTATAGTTGCGATGTATCGAATTAAAAAATACATCGATGTTTTTTCAGAGTGGACACCCCTATATGACGGTAAAGACATACACCCATATTCTTAGTCGCGTCCTCAAACGTTCCTCGACTCTAACTCATTCGAGGGCTCCATAAGGAGTTCCTCCAAATAACCTCGAAAATGATATTCTAGTAGGTATCTTGAACAAACTTGAGAATTCCTCCACTGAGAGTACAAACAAAGGTATAAAGCATAGACATATTATATGTGTAAAGTAAAATATCACACAACAAACATGGGTCTAACCTACTTGAAAAATCCTGTCACGTACAACTTCAAAGCCTCCAGTAATTGTATTAAAGGCGGTACAGGTAGTCCTCTGTTATTACAATTTAGTGTAATGCTTAGCAGAGGAAATATTACTTGTATGAATGTATCTCTCTAAACCGAAATCTTCTTTTTAACGAATCACTGTAGTAAACCTCAAAAGGATTTGCGGCGCTACGTAAATACCGTCTCGCTGGATTATAATTATCATCATCGTATACGTAATCCATAAAATCCACCAATTCGTCAATAATCTCAAAATTCAAAATCTCATAAAACAACTTGAAAACACCTTAAACACCACTCGAGGAAGCCTTAAGGTACGTCGAGAGCTACCTTGAGTTTGACAATTTATTCCTCGACTCGACCTCCACTCGAGTGAGGAATATCTCAATTGAAGGATATTTTTGTTGTCTAAGCATACGAATTTCCTCGAATGAGGTTGAGTCGAGTGGAAAAAATCTCGAGGAAACGACTAAGAATATGGGTGATAGTATCAAATGGACGGAGCTAGGGACACGATATCGAATAGAAAGTATCGATACTGTAGATAACACTAAAGAAGTGTTCATTAATATTACAATCATAATTAAAATGTTAATTAAAAAGATCAAAATTTTAAACAATTTAAAAGTATGAAACTTTTCAGATTTGTTTCAAATTAAATTTACTTTCCTTGAATTTTAATCATTATAAAAAATTATACCCACTTATGTTAACTTGAATCTGGCACGTAGTTAACGGCTGCCATTGGCATGCTTCACTCAAGATTATAATTATAAAAGAGGTTACGTCCGTCTTTTTTTGTGGTGGTTTCAAATAGGTATACACAGCACAGACAGAATCAATCACAGTTCCTAACAATATGGCGCTAAATAAATAACTATGAAACAATACAAAGCGCAAAATAAACACAGTCACAGATTGGAAAGAATTTGAATATGTCAGTTACTGACTTTATAACAACGCAATAGGGCATTTGACAGTATTAAAATAAAGTGCCAAAATAACGAAAAAGATATAAGTTTTCTTATCTATTGTCACGTAACCCAAAACGCTTGGGATTGGCGGAGCCTAAAATGCCGTCACATGCAAGTAAACTTTCGGTCAAAGTGACATTACATTGTATCGTTTGACGTTTTAATAACAGTCGTGTGACGTCACACACTAGTAAAACGCCATATTGTTCAGAGTAACATTTTCGCGGCAACTTGAAAATGGAGTTTTTGATTTGGTTATTTTTACTGAAATACACAACAGAATGATGAATATCCACTTTTTACGGACTCCATAAACATTAGTCAATAACGTGAGATCGTTGCCTAAAACTTGTCAAATACCCTATGGAACGTTTCAGAAGGTTTGCTATGATTTAACAAGATGGCATTGCGATCAATATGAGACGCTTATCCAAATTTTTAAAGGTACCGATACTTGCCAAAAAGTACTCATTTAGTAAAAGTATCGAATACAAAGTATCGAGTACAAAAGTATCGGTATCGAAAGGAAAAGTACTCGATACCACAAAGTATCGATACTTTTTTCGTGTCCCTAGACGGAGCATTTCTCGTCCTCCCCCACACCCTTTACCCCGCAGGCGAGGTCTCACATAAGCAGTTTACCTATAGTCAAATGGTTAGAATAAAAATATACAACTGTTAAAACTGTTATAGATAAAACTATGTAAACAAAAAGAGTACAGCTCTAATATATATTATTTTTCAATGCGAATTTTGTATACAATTTTATTGGTATATTAAAAATTTTTTTACCATCAGCAAAAAAAACATGGAAGGTTTATAATTATATATTGAAATAATTCATTATGTATAATACAAGCCTGAGAACAAAAACTATAGTCTACACTACAGATTTACACCGAAGCGAAGCGAGGGCGGCCAACTAGTCTAAGATAAAATAATAAATAAATAAATAAATAATAAATATTTCTAACACTCACACCAATTAGCCTAGCCCCAAAGTAAGCACTGTAAGGCTTGTGTTATGGGATACTAGGGTAATGGATAGAATACATATACAGTACATAATAAGTATATTTATATAGAAATACATATTAAACATCCATGACTGGAGTACAAATGCTCGTATTCATCACACAAACATCTGCCCCCACCAGGATTCGAACTCGGGACCTCTCGAGTTGGCGACACCATGAAACCCGGCGTACAAACCACTCGACCACGGAGGTCGTCAAAAAAAAAAATCGCAACCTCTTGAATCGATTCAAACAATTGTTTGATGGAATCGGGCATCCCTATCTGTCATTTTGGTTGGGTCTGGCCGAAATGGAGAAATTCACGGCCGTAAAAATAAAAAAAAAAAAAAAAAAAAAATTGGTTGGGTTGGGAATTGATGATTGGGTGCAGTGTATTCACAATAGCGGTGGGTCGTTCTCAAATTTTCTGACGACGAAACGCAACCGTTTTCTCTTAAACGAAAACTAGTCCTCGAAACGGAAACTAGTGACGCAACGAAACGACACGCGACGGACGAACGAATGTAACGCAACGAAACTTAACTAAATGAAATCTTGTTAACGTTCGTTTCGTTGCTGCGAACGAGACGACGAAACATCGAAATAAATGTAGTCTTATATGATAATCGACTTTAGGTGTTCAATAATAAAGATTAAATTATTGTAAAATCTAAGCTTAATTATCATAGAACGAAACGGCCTCTTAACATTGCGTTCCATTATAGACTGTATTTATTTAATCATAAAGAACATATTGGCTTGCAGACAATCCGAGGACTAGTTGTTCGACGAAGACTGTTTTGATCCGAAACGTAAAACGGTTCTATCGTCGCGGAACACAAAACGGTCCTTGAAACCGGTTCGTCTTTAGAACGCTCACACCTAATTCACAAACTATATAGTGATGCTAGCACATAGTGTATTTAAATTATTCTGTGGGTGCAAATACTACTCTTTGATTGGGTTGATGGATGGATTTGTATCAAAGAGTATATTTATGCCGTGTTAGTGCTAGTACTAATTCAGGTGTAAATTTATTGCATTTGTAATTAAATTTTTAAACATTTTCAAGAGTATCCTGTATCCCCGTAAGAAAAATTACATTTTGCGTGTCTTACCAAGTATCATAAATTTGTATGATTATTATAGCAATTCAGGAGATACAAGTACCTTTAACAGAAACTAAGTGCATATTAATTTAGCAAAGAAGTAGCAGAACTAACTAATTTTTATGATGAAAGAACCACACTCAGATCTGTGTTCAAGTTATATTAAAATATTTGTTGTTGTAAGTTGTTACTGGTAAGCAAATTATTTACAATAACAAATTTAATTTAGTGACATATAAATTGTGTGATAAATACATAAAAACAGAATTTGAATAATTTCAGGATTGTATCAATAACTACAGTATTTGTAAACAAAGCATTATTAAGCAGTGACAGTGTGGCCTTAGAAGCCCCTTTATCTATAACATGGTTCCAATGTATTGTATCATTTACAATATGCTTCACTCTAAGCCAGACAAATGGTATTCCCGGTATATTTAAATTTCCTAAAGGTACACCATGGAATATTGACATAGTTAGAAAGGTAAGAACATTTCAAAATAACATAATTTTATATTTTCTAGACAACATCCAACTTTTTTTAATTTAAAATGGTAATCAACGCTATTCCATTATAATTTTGGTGAGTGATTGCTGATTGACAATATTTTAACTACATCATTGTAACATAATTTGCTAAGAATAAAGTACGAAATAGTGCATAATTTAAATGTTTTTAAAATTTTATTTACACTGACATAAGTTACAAGTCACATAATTTTCAGGTAAAAATTAGTTAAAAATTTACCTAATAACTTATCAGAAAATTGTTAGTATTATATTTCTGTGTGAAACAATATCAGTACCCTAAGCATGAACAACTAGCGAGAAAGTATTTGTATCACCATGTCAAAGTTTCTATGGAAAAAACCAGTTTGTTCTTACATTCTGTAGGGTCACTGCACTGCCTCGTTTCCATAACGCCTGGGGGCCATTTGCCTAACGGAAATGATTTGGAAAGCGCTAACGCCCTTTGATTTTATTTTGTTATTTTTGACCGCCGAAGGTTTTCAAATACCTCACACTCATTTTTTTAAATATTTTTTTACCAATGCAAATGAAAAAAAAGAGCATGAGGCATTTGAAAACCTCAGGCGGCTAGAAATAACAAAATGAAATTGTAAGCGTTAGCAGTTTCCAAAGCATTTCCGTTAGGCGAATGGCCCCTGGTCTGTGTAAATGGCAGATTTCTGCCAAAGTCAAAAAACCCCTGTCTGTAGACAGGGCAGATTTCTGCCATGAGTTGAGAAAATTATTTTCATATTTTGCTTTGTATCATATTTAGTAATGGTTTTTAATTTACACATTTCATATAAATAGATAAGTATGTAGAGATACTATTCAGGATTGATTTAAGACATAAATGAAGCGTGGATGTACAGTAGGACTTGAATAAGAAGGGGACAATCAGTGGAAAAAAAACCCCAAACAAGTGTAAAAGAAAATGAAGGGCTAACATAGACACAGGGTTTTGAGTGCCATATTGCTTACATTAAATTCAAACTTTAATGAAATTATTAATTAAAGTTTGAATTTAATGCATCAACTTTAAACTTACATTAACATTATATTACTGCTTTATTTTACTGTAACATGTGTATATTGTCTTAGATTAAAACATGTAGCAGTTAAATGCTTTATATATATATATATATTTACATCTTCGAAGACTTCTTGCATCTTTACAAACTGCCACCCTGCGGCGTCCACTGTACTCGACGCGATTTTGAATGTTTTAAATGCGTATTTAAGTAGCTATTATTATTATAATTTCTTGAGTCTACGCGAAATTGCATTAAAATATAAAATGTCAATATTCGATTTTAATATTTCCCGGTAATTTAGCGCATCCGTTCACCACCATAACCATACAGCACACTGAATATTTACGTATACCTTCTATGCACTGCTTAAATGCTCCTACCTCCGTCCAAACTTATGTTTAAATTGATTCTGCATAATACGATTTATTTTTACAAAGTTACGTCCCTCAAATTGAAAAAGAGATATGTTAGTTCCGGATACTGTAGGTACTGTATATCAATAATATTCATCCTGCTAGTCCACCGCACCGGCTTCCAGGTACACCAGCACTCTTTGGAGTAGTACATACCTATGTAGAAGTACCTGTAGGTACCTACCTACAATTACTTATTTATGTTCAAAGCTTGATCGTTATTTTTGAGTTTTACACAGTTCAGTCGGGTAGACAGGGAAATTCTTTTTTTATTATATTTTAAAGTTTACATTGGTCCGTACCTTTTTGTCTTTATATTTTTATTTATTAAAGTCATGATCATATTTAAGATAACTTTTTTAGCTCGGCTGGTCTGGAATTTCAAGAGTACCGGTGGGATTCGGGCTTGGTTGTCCCTTGACCCTGTAATTTACGGGCCCAACGACAATATAGTCGTACTCTGTGTACATCGTCGACAACGGAGTCGAAGGGATCCACCAAGGATAACTTAGAATACTGTCTGTTCCGGTGTCTTGCCTGATGCTGGTACTGCCAAGAGATGTCCAATGGCGATCTGTAAGGTTTTTAGTGGGTAGGCTTATGATCAGACACTGAGATTGGCCGCAAGTCTAGGTGTATTATTCATTTTCCCAATGTAAAAGTTAGTCAGGTTTAATGTGGGTATCCATAATAAATCTTTGTATAATGGTAATCTGAAAGCAATACAAGCCACCCAGCCTGGTTATAAGGAAATATAATAATAGTTAAACAATAAGAAAAGTTGGTGTAAATAGATTAATTCGAAGTAGGTAGGCTCGAAACTCAGGCTCGAAATAAAGAATAAAAATATGTAATGGAAAAAGACTTCATGAATTATCTCTGACCTCATTTTTTAATTTGATGACTCTGAAACCTACAGGGTGAAAAAACAAGCTCATGCTGAGTTCCCTAGATTTCCCCCGATTGTCCCCCGCCGTAGATTTGTATGGGGTAGCTTCTTGACGTACACAAGTGCCTGAAAGCCTGAACTGAATAAAAGATCTCTCCAAAACATTTTCATGGAAAATGTTGCCAAGACGGGATCATGTATCACTCGCACGACAAAAAGTTATCAGATCGCACGTAGAGCCATTCTTCTATCTCTACACGCCCTATCACTAAGACCAATTTTATCAGTGCGGTGACGGAAAAAGAATACAACTCACCGCCCCTTCTCTTCGCGTGGGTGTTGTAAGAAGCGAATAAGGGATATCGGAGCTTCCATCCGCTCTTCTGATGCTACGGTACCTAACACCCGCCTGGTTTGTTACCACCGTGCGCATGGTGAAAACCCCGTTAAGTGCTTCTCGCTTGTTTCGGGGTCAACCAGCGTACAACCAGAGCTCGAGTGAAGGTTTTCGCGATTGATTCAGTCCAGGGGAGGCGTCCGTCGAACTGATACCGAAACCTGTCCAGGGAGACCAGTAAAAACGGCTGTCCTGCTGGCCGCCCGTGGCACAGTACAGGGGCCCGAGCGTTCCTAACCAGTTCGTGAGGCTGCCCTACCATGTCACGCATAATCTCGGGGTGGACCGTAGTACCGGTTGGTGACCGGGGGGTGCGGGGGCCCTTCCGTCCGGCGGGTCGGCGCATCGCCTCTGCAGGCAGTCATTCGGGAAAACAAATCTTCCTAATTTGCCAGGACTCTTCGCGACACCGCCCGCTCATTTTCACGTCTTTTTTTCAATTCCACCATGGCAGCCTCTAAAATAACTAAGTATAGCGGTGCATACCCCCAGGTATGCACCGCTATACACCCAAACTTAGCCTTCAATGCTGTTTAATGTAGAGTTCTGCAACATACGCGGACTCCACTCTAACCTCAACGCTGTCCACCACTTTCTTGAAAGAGCACGCCCAGCATTGTTGACGGAGACACAAATACTTCTGCCTGCTGACACAGGCTACCTTAACTAACCCGGCTCCGTGTTTAAAGAGTCCTTCAAAGCGAAAGCCGGTGTATGCCTGTATGTTCGGGCGAATGTTTGTTGTCGTCGTCTCCGCTGCTTGGAAGATCACTCCTACTCCATGCTGGTGGTACACGTCGACTTTGGTCCCCAGGCCAAAGTCTACGTGTGCCTCTACAGATCCCATACTCGCGATGTTGAGACAACTCGACTTTTCGAACACCTTAGTCGGGCAGCAGATGACGCGCAAGAACAATTTCCCAAAGCAGAATTGGTGTTTTTGGGGGAATTTAATGCTTACAACAATTTTAAGTTGTGGTTAAGTTCCTCGAAAACCAACCATACAGGGCTCTGCTCACGCATGACTTGAAGCAGCTGGTCGATCAGCACACCAGGATTCCAGATATTTCAAGTCAAGCACCTTTATTACTGGACCTTCTGCTCACGACCCATCCACAGAGCTGTCAGGTTGTGGTAAGGGGGCTCTGGGCTCTTCGAATCACTGCCCGTTATCTACCAAAGCGCCACAGGCCAAGCCTGCGCGTCCAACGGTGGTACAACGCCGGATCTGTCACTATGGGTCGGCAGATTGGGACGGTATGCGTGACAACTTTGCGTCCGTCCCTTGGAAGCCAGTCCCGCCAGCGCCGTTGTTATTCTGAGGATATTGTAATGGTAATGCAATACTATATTCCTCATTCCAATCTCATTAGTAAGGACACACGTAACCTCTGGTTCAATCACCACTGTGCTGAAGCTGTTTCGCGTAAGCAAGCGGCATATCGTGCTTGGATCAGAGGCCGCGCTCTTAAGGATCCCGGGGTCGATTCACTAAAAGCAGCCTATAATTTTGCTTTCAAGACCTGTAAGAAGGATTACAGCGGATGCCCAGCGCGTTACACGTGTTGGTCACGAACTTATAACGCATCCTTCAGGCTCCCGTAGCTATTGGCGTTTGGCCAAGGCCGTGCAAAAGAACTTCTGCCAGCTCTCGCTGCCACCTCTGAGATGCCCTGACGGAACACTAGCTCATAAGCCACGGGAGAAAGGTGATTTACTGGCCAAACTCTTTGCGGCTAACTCCAGAATCGATATTTGCAATGCACTGCCATCATCATTACCTCATTGTGGCACAACGATGCCTGATATTAAAACCAGGCACCGTGAGGTTCGTGTCGAATTGCAATCACTCGACATCCGGAAAGCTGGTGGACCTGATGGCATCCCATTAGTAGTACCAAAAAAATGTGCAGCGGAGTTGTCTTCCGCTCTCACGCGCTTGTACCAATACTCGTATTCTTTGGGGCGTGTGCCGGAGACTTGGAGAGATGCCAACGTGCAACCGGTGCCCAAAAAAGGGGATCCCTCAGACCCGGTAAACTACCGGCCAATAGCAGTCACCCCAGTATTATATAAAGTCCTAGAAAAGGTTCTTAACAACCATCTGACCCACTACCTAGAGGATGAATCCTTGATTAATGATCTTCAATATGATTTTAGACCCAAACTATCGACGGGTGATCTTCTAGCGTACTTGACTCATATCTGGGGTGAGGCTATCGACAAGCGGGGCCAAGTCGTTGGCTATCAGCCTTGACATTGCCAAGGCGTTCGTCAGGGTCTAGCACAAAAGCATTCTCTCCAAGCTTCCGGCATACGGTCTGCCGGCACAGTTCTGTTCTTGGGTGGCTGACTTCCTGCATGAACGTAGAATTCATGTCCTTACGAATGGTAACAGTTCGCGGTTCATGTCAGTGAATGACGGCGTTCCTCAGGGCTCCGTCCTATCCCCCACTATCTTTCTGCTGCATATCAATGACTAAAATTCCTTTTGGGAATATTCATTGCGATGCATACGATAGTACCGAGATATCCCGCATGCACTATGCGGGATATCTCGGACAAGCAGCGGCTGGGCAGGCGGTAACCAAGGAGAAACGGGAGAATCTTGTCATTGAATTCAATCAGGCTTTGGACCATATTTCTGAATGGGGTAGTACCAGGTTTGGTTGAGTTCAATGCTAACAAAACCCAGGTCTGCGCTTTCACGACAAAAACGTTGCCATTCCTTTCATGTCTTGGAGACCTGAACAAGGTTTATTTCAAGGTTTTTTTCGCCGTTTTTTCACGCTCGAGCAATTTAACTGTGCATGTTGTATAAGGAGCACGTGCGGTCTTGCGTGGAAATTTGCTCGCAACTCTGGGATGACTCCACCAAGTACTTGTTCGATACCTTGGATGGGTTACAGCGGCGCACGATCCTCATTATAGGCGATGAAGAGGTGACTAAACACCTAGAGCCTCTACAATTACGCCGTGACGTGGCGTCATTAAGCACGTTCTATCGTCTGTACCACGGCGAGTGTTCTGAGGAGTTATTCTCTCTTATCCCACCTTCCCCTTTCATTCATTGGACCTTGCGCGCTGACCTACGTTGTCACCGACTAACTGTGGCCACAATTCCAACGCGTACAAAGAAATTTGTTGACTCATTTTTTTGTTGCACTATCCATAGATGAAATGCGCTGACCGCTCACGTATTCCCTCCCTCTTACAACCTGGGATTCTTTAAAAGAGGCGTGAAGAAGCAACATGCAGGCCGGCAGGGTGAGGATGGCTGGTGTGGCAGGTGAACTGCTGTATCAGCTATCGCGTCTGGACTTCACCGTTACTTATATAACTCGAAATTTTTTTATGTGGATAATCCAAACCCTACTTATAAAGGTCCACTAAAATGACGAAGCCCTTCGGGAAAAGTTACGTGGAGCCCTTGCACTTCGTTTGGCTCGTCTTGTCGTGTTGGTGGGGGGCACGGTTGCGTTGATATTGAATTCGAATTTTAAATTTGTATAAGTTAAAGGGAAGTTGAATACGTGTATACATACTAAGTGATAGTGAAGAGGTAAGGTTAATTGCGATATCAAAAAAAAAAACAATGATACAAATTAGCAAATGGTGCATAGAAATAAGCTTGAGTTAACTTCAGTGACATATTTAACAAGTTTTCCAGATGTGATATTATAAATACCATAACAAAGGCTGAACAATACTGTATATTTAACAATTTAACTAACAGTTCTTACAAGAATTCTCTGTAGGTAGGTACATTACCACAAAATAACAAATGAATCACATTCTTAATAAAATAGGGGCTAATAATTAACGTTGTTAAAGTTCTCTCGATCATTAATATCGATTAATCGTGTAGGTTCATTATGTATCTACATTATAAAAAATCGAAAACGGAAACTAAACAATAATATCTTAATAGTTATCAATGGTATAAAATATCAAATTTGCTAAAATAAAAAAAATCTCTTCATTGTTTTACGTTTATTTACTTCTATCAAATAATACGATAAATTTCACTCCGGTAATAAGTTTGCGTCCACGGAGCACGGATCTGTATACAAACACACGCGACCCGTAGGACGCCCAGTTTCGTCTCTCCCATGCACCCAAAACGGGCCCCTCAGGTGTCGCGCGATCTCGCAAATTAAGATGCCTACTGGATGCAAGATAATCATCGTAGAGAATTGATAAAAACTTTTTTAAATATATATAGGAAGACGCAATAAAATCTGTAAATTGAACCCGAAATATACATTGCAAAATATACACTGCACGGTAGCGCCCTCCAAATTCCGCACGGTCAATGGTTGTACTATGAAATACGTTAAAAAGCATTCTGGTGATGAAATTGAGTCCACGCCAAATTTTTGCCCATGCATTCTATGCATGAAAAGACGTCTTTGCACCAAAAATGAGGCTAGGTTAATCTTGCGTCCGTATACCGGACGCAGGATCAATAGCAAAAATCGCCATATAAGACGCAACATGATCAGCAAGATGTATATATATATATATATATATATAATTACTGTAACAGTATTCAATTTAACACCTAATGTATCCAATTTATTTCTTTCAGGTCATTCCACTCTCAATAATGTTTACTTTAATGATAGCAACAAATAATTTATGCCTGAAGTATGTTGGAGTGCCATTTTACTATGTAGGAAGGTCACTCACAACTGTATTTAATGTTTTTTTAAGCTGGTTACTCTTAAGACAAACTACTTCATTGAAGTGTATTATGTGCTGTGGGTTCATTATTTTTGGATTTTATCTTGGGGTTGATCAAGAGAGTTTGTTGGGTAAGATAGAGAAAACTTACTGATGATACTATTATTTATATTGATAAAACATTGTTTTGTGTTAATGATTTAATATAATAATAATAATGTGAATTAAATAAAAACATTTACTTACTTACATTTTCTGTTATGGCAACTAACTGTATAACATTTAAGTTCACATTTTTACTTAATTACACTGTTATTTTCTTAATATTAATCATGACTTATTTACAGGTTCATTCTCCCTACTGGGAACAATTTATGGAGTTATTGGTTCCCTTATGTTATCACTCTACTCTATATATACCAAGAAAGTATTGCCGAGTGTCAACCAAGAAGTGTGGCTCCTTTCATTCTACAACAATGCTTACTCAATCATATTATTTTTGCCTTTAATACTTATGAATGGTGAATTAAATGTGCTGTGGAATTACAGAAATTTTGATAGCACATATTTTTGGTTCCAAATGATTATTGGTGGTTTATGTGGATTTGCAATTGGATTTTTTACTTCTTTACAAATAAAGGTATTTTTTATTGTTATTTTTTTAAATAATAAATGCCGTGCAGGTGCCATTAGTATGTGAGTTAAATATTTCATCAAATGAAAAATATTATGATACTAATTAAATAGTAATTTTCAGGTTACATCACCTTTAACACATAATATATCTGGTACAGCTAAGGCATGTGCCCAAACCGTTTTAGCAACTCAGTGGTATAATGAGTCTAAGAATATTCTGTGGTGGACATCAAATGTGATAGTACTAGCTAGTAGTGCATTGTATGCCAGGTTCAAACAAGTAGAAATGGAAGAAAATTCTAAGAAACCACAGCCTGAAGAAGAGAAAAGCCTTGTATGATAAGTATCATATGAAATACTATATTTAAAAAAAATCATTATTAAGAAGACTGCAGTATAGAATGTATATATATATATATAAGATTTTGTAAACAAATCAGTGATATTGTAGGTATATTGGATTAAGATTTTAAAGTTTGTTTTGTTTGAGTCATTTAAATTTATTGATATGCCAATGTAATTTGCCTATAATATAGATTTTATTTATATTTTTAGCTAACTAATTAAAAACACTGGTGTCATTTGTAGTCATGGAAGAGCTTATTTTTTGTTTTATAGTATACAGTATAATTGTGTTTTTGAGACAACTGCTTTTGTTTTTGAAAGGTTGCAGAAATTATGAATATTACAGTCCTGTAATTTTGTATTTTTTATGTACATACTTATTCTGTTTTACAAGAAATATACTTTCAACACAGACCATTTATAGTATTAAATAGTATCAAAGCTTTTTCAAATTTTTATACCTAAAAACGGATGCGACACAAGCAAACATATTATTGTATAATATACTACAGTTGACAAGTTTAGTGTCATATGGAGAGTGCCGTTTTGAATGGTTAAGCGGGCTACTGACATCCCTGCCGCAGGGCCAATATAGGGCGCACGGCGGTCGGGGCAATATCGGCTTGTCTCTACAGTCATGCCTGCTATTTAGTGTTCGGCTATAAGTTGAGCTAAACACACGCGTTGATGATGGCCCCAGTATTATCAAAAAATCCAAAACATCGGTAGGTAAGGCCTTGGTTCTTTCTATGGTGTAAACTCAAAAAAGTAAATACAGGATGAAGAATTGGCAACATAGAGAAATGTATTGTAAATAAATATTTTTATCCACATGAGGGGACGGTCTTTGTATAGTTCTATCACTCGAGACCAAACTTCATGCTCATTATGATCTGCCGCTATCTTGATCGAAATACCTGTGACAGTTACCAACCAACTGTATGAGAAATTGCAGGGAGAATCTAGGAACCAAGCGAATTTAGAAAATTACACCTGCTTGTCTACACACATCACAATTAAGGAGGCAATTAAGGGTCATCCCCACTCTTACACCCTAGATTGTCCCCGCGGCAGGGATGCAAGGGCGGATCCAGCTTTGGCGCCAGGGGGGGGTCATATAATCGTGGTCAAGTCACAGAGGGTACAGATTGTAAAGTGGGTAAAGATAGACCCAGCCCAGGGGGGGTCATGACCCCCATGACACCCCCCCTGGATCCGCCCTTGCAGGGATGTCAGTAGCCCGCTATAATCTGAATAAAGTTGCTGCTTCGCCGCGACTTTGTCCACATGAAATATAAGTTCTTGTTGTTATTATGTTATTACAGTGCTACGCACAATTTTAAATTTTATTGAATACATATTTACTAGCTAGTCCCGACACAGCACCACAAATCAGATCAAAAACGGATCGGCACTGTCGGGGCGCAGCGGGACTCATACATAATCTGTACCGCGGATTTTGATTCCGTGCGATCATTCATATGACGAACTTCGGCCGAATTCCGTTTATACATATTTTTCGTTGCTAGCCCTCTGATCAGTTTTCGATTTGATATAATGTACACCGACTTTATACGTGCTCTAACTTTCTCTCTCTTGTCTGTGATTACCTATATGATAAATGAGTACAGTACTGAGTACTGTTCATTTATGAACATTAAAAAAGCGTTTAAAAAGTATGTAGTTGTGAATCGCTGTCTAGTCAAGGGCGGATCCAGGGGGGTCATGACCCCCCTCCCTGCGCTGGGTCCATCTGTACCCACTTTACAATCTGTACTTCACAATCTGTACCCACTGTGACTTGACCTCGACTATATGACCCCCCCTTGCGCCAAAGCTGGATCCGCCCTTGTGTCTAGTCTAGGCTTAAATTAATAATTTGCTGTGGACTGGGTACCTACTGCGAATATTAAACGACATTCGATTATCAACTTAAAAACTGAGTTTGCCTGTTATCTATGATTCGCCACTTAGTTATTAGATATGGTTTAATTATAATCTTAATATAGCTATTAAGTCTGATTAATTATTATATAGAATTCCTTGGTTATCAACCAACGCCCTTCAGATATTGTTTTTTTATACTGTATCGTCTTATCAGACTTCCTGTAAGGCCCTTGTGCCACCGCCGCCGATCAGCGAGTAGTGAGCACAGCCAAAAAATAGATAACTACAGATGCCAGTGTATAGTTCCAACAGTCCTCTGCTTGTGTGTTCTTTTGCGCTTACTATTTTCGCCGGTAGTGTGAACATCCAGCATCAACTACTATTACTTATACCCTGGTATCCATTTTATTGACGGCAAATAAATATCATTTATCAGAAGATAGCTTATCGCAATCACGTCCGCCGGCGCACAGTGGGTGAAAAAAAGAGGTCCCCTTTCATAGGATTTTTGAAAAAATAAAAATGTTTATTATCCGTTTAAGGTATGCGGTTTTATTGGACATATCAGTACATTGAATAATAAAATAGTTTGGGGAATTTCCTTTTAATCTAACACCATAAAGCACGGGCTTTAGAGTTTCAAATGTATGAAAACGGAATTTGTTTTGCTCATAACTTGTATCGGTCTTCTACGGTCAAGCTGAAACTTATAGGGATTATTAGCGGGTCTGTTACGAAGCCATGTGACCTTTGACCTTCACCCCGGACGGCCCCGTTCAAAAGATACGAATTTTTCAAAATGCTTATTAGGGTAATTTTGCTTTACGGGGTTATGTGTCTCAATAAACAGTTTGTTTATGTTTCTTGCCCAGCATTTAGTTATTAATATAACTCAGATTTTATCTAATAAAACTACACAGTAGATAACGCCACCATACAACTTAACTTTAAATAAAAGCGTCCTAATTCAAAAGATATGGAATTAATATAAATAGATAAAAGAAATAGTTTTAAGAAAAAGAAAACAAGAATACAATATTGTAAAGAATTACAATGAAGTCGTTTACAGCCTACAATTTAATCTTTTGTTTGACAATCGCTTAAAAGCCGCGCGCCATTAACGAGAGCATCATTACATATAAACAATACAAACTCTATTGTTGCAGGTTTTGAGGAATTCAAAGGGTTACCCACAGTCATTACCTGCCGTTGTTTGCCTATAATAATTAATTTTGTCAAACAAACATACTTACACTTACAATGTCTATCTAAGAAAGGGTTTGATCAAATATGTTTATTTTGGGATACCTAGAACTTTAACTGACTAAGCTTAAAATGAACAAAGTGTTTTTCCAGATAAACTAGCTGGTTATTAATATTAGTAAATGTAGTAAGGGAGATTCTGATATGTTACTGCCAAACGAGAAAATAAACTATTTACATTATGAATAAAACAAAATTATTAACATCAATATTTTTATTTACAAAACTTAAATTACTAACTAAGCTTGATATCATAAATTAAATAATGCATAATAAGGAAGCCACAACTGTATAAATTACTACACACATACAAGCTAAAGTATAAAAGATTAGTAGAACTCAAATTGACTACAACAGTTCTTAAATATGTAAACTGTTTATATTAATATGATACAAAGATACAAAAAAATAAAAATACAAAGTTTGATATAATTTGATTTGAGGGAAAGAACACATACTAATAAAAGTCATAATCAGATACATTACCTACATCTACAAACTATATTTTCCTTATCTTCACAAGAAGTTAATAATAATGATTTAGCTTCATTTGTGAGAGGTTTATTTCGTTGACATATTTTAGGCCTGAAACTTGATAGGTATGGGTCAGACGATATTAACAAATTATTGATAATATCTTCATTTGTTGCAATCCTGCTAGATTTACGCGAGTGGAAGGTTCTGAAGTTTTTAAAATCTTTGTTACGAGCTTCAGAGGCCTCTTCAGAGAGCTTGCCGATTGGTATAAAGTTATTGTGCTCTATTATATCGGCACCATGAATGAGTAATTTATGCACGCTTGAGGGCAAATAATACCATTCATAGAGCTCGACATATTTGCGTGCTGTAGCAGCACAATATTGGCGAAATTTTTCCACGTCCACAAACTCTCCACATGAGATAGCCTGAAGAATCACTCCAAATCTTCTAACGAGTTCTTCATCAACACCCGTTATTTGAGCAGTAATTTGAGGATTAACAAAAAATCTTCTTGCTGTGTTTCCATCGTTGCTTGTACCAGCCCCTTGTTTAACAACGTCCACAAGTAGCCCCGTTTCAGTCCGGAATTGTTCTTGAATAGCCTTTTTTCTTTGGCTTAACTGTTGCTTCAAATCTTCGCCCTTAGCTTGCCATTTCTTGAAGTCGAGACGGTAAGCAATATGTAAGATACATTCCATGCATCTAATTCGTGCATGGAGGGAAGACAGACCGAACTTAAACATGTCTACAGACTGGGTTCTCTGAGTAACCTTGTCGATATCATTCATTTCTTTTGGTTTTGCTTTGCATATATCGCATGTAGCTGTGGATGTATCTGATAAATGTGAAGTTATTTTACCATCAATCATCGTCATATGCGGAACGTGTTTTACATTTGCACCATCGATAACAGTTGGATGTAGAGCAGCAATTTCCGTATCAATTGAAGTCATTTCTTCTTTAACATTCAAATCGTTCTCTTTAGCAAACTTAAAATAAATGGGTCGACAGTAAAACGTTGAAGACGCTTTGGGGTTTTCCCATATTATTTCATCAGTACCATCTCTCACCAGTTTTAACGGCACAAATGAACACATGAAGATGCTTGAATCATCGCCGTCAATTTTTTGTTGGTAGTTGCTTGCCCAGATGCACCGTCAAACCCCCATTTACTGATAAGAGTCGAATTACTGCCAGTTAAATCAGTTTCCAGAGTTTTTAATAGTAGAGACTGAAGTTAAACTTAAACTTCAGTCTCAGTTATTACCATGTCTTCTTTTTCAACGTAGCACTCCTTCTTCTCTTGCTTCAAAGCATCATACGATGGAAGTATATCACACCCCATGTCTCTCATTGTCTGCCTCAATGTAATATACTGCCATTTCGATAATTTCAGTGATGTTGAAATACCGAGTGCCTT